GCAGAGGAGGGTACAAGCAGGCGCCAGGTGCGCCAATGTGGGCGTTATAGGCCACTGTTTGGAAAAAGAGTTCATCCGGATGCCTAATATCCTTGTCTGAGGAGAAGACTTCGAGTAGGGGCTGCGTCGCGGGGCTGTTGAGGGCAAAGTCTAGGAAGTCACGTCGGAAAGCACCGTAGATGCTTCCTTTGAACCACTGCATCTACATCAACAGCAGAGATAGATATGGTGTTAAGCACCAATGTCAGAAATTATCTTCAGCAATCTGCAAGTACATAGTGTTGTGTACCGAACCCAGCGTTTTCGTCTTCTTGGCAAAGTTTTCATATGTCCATGTGCTTAGATATCGCTAGCTCCATCATTGTGTCTTACGGGAGCAGTGTTAATAGGAGTTTTATGGTTAGGTTATATCATAGGTAAGGAAAAATAAACTAAAAGTTGAGCGTATAAAAGCAGAAGATAATAGGAAATAAATATTTAAATAGCCAGCATTTTGCGCGCCATAACAAAAATCCAAGGATTTTTATAAGAAACTCCCTGTTACTCAAAGGCAGCCCAAGCTGAGGCCCCCAGAGTCTTACAGCAATAAAGTAATAGTCGTTCTTCACAATAGGGCATATTGTGATTTATGAAGGAATATAGTTTCATAGAAATACCAGCTTTTGTAACAAAGTGGAAAATTCCGGAAACGGGGAAATCGGGCGTACTAGGTAAACTTAAGTTTTACATGTAGAGGAAGGCAGTTGGCGTACTAGGTAAACTTAAGTTTTACATGTAGAGGAAGCCCGTTCATGCAAAAATCACCGAGTGAATAAGGCAGCACAAGTGAAATTACGTTGGAAAATAATCCTTTTGTAAACTATTCCGATACATTTGCTTCCATATTACGTGCAATATAATGTATGGCTGTTACCCAACAGCCCAAAATTCGAGTACGTATTCCAACACGGCTTAACGAGAACTCCTAGTTTTTTTTGTTTATGCATTGCTTGAGTTACGCTGGACTCACCTAACCACATTTTCGCTTTGATTTGGCCCATTGGGAGATCACAGGGGTAATATATTTATTAAGCTCTCGTGCAGACATGCCGGTCAGTGACTAATACATTTAGATGAAATTGTCAGGTGCAATTGTAAACGTACCATTTCTTCTACAATAAGAGTAATTGCCGTCCACCACATTCCTTTTTAATTATTTTGGGCTTTTGATTACGAAGAGGTTCAGATTTTCCTTGAAATGCTAATTAAGCCTTTGCGATTTTCACTGGTTTCAGTCGATTGACCATAAATAATGATTATATTCTACGTGCTTACCAAAACCTTCAAAATAATATATGTCTTAAAAGAATTTACCTAAATAACGAGCATTAAAGCATTCGTTCTTACGCAGCTGTCTGTTTGTGTCATGGTTTCAGAACCACCCAATCATTTCAACGCATTGCCGAGAAAAACGAACGTCCACGACAAAATTCGCGAACGAATATGCCTGAGATTGACTTAAACATTTTCTGTAGTAGGTTACCTCTTGAAAAAGAGCTTTAAATATATATTTTGGCGTCGGATATCTGCGTACTTTTTTGAAGATTAAATCAAGATCAGAATGAAGAAGTTTGGTCAGTTTTTTGATTTTCCTAAAATGAGGGATACATCTTCCGTTATAAATGAAAAATCTAACTTTTCTATTTAAACTGGAACAGTTTTCAATATATTTGGTTACAACTAGGCTCAGTTCTACAATAACAAAGGCAGAGCAGGGTGCCAATAATACCAGTGACGATTTTTGAGAAAACTGTTTCGCAATGTCCCACGACAACTCACTCAAATGTGTGTTATTTTAACTGTCTTC